TGTATTCTTGCCTTTGTATATATAATCAGAATGAATTTTGGGGGGAAAATTTGTGAGTCTTGGACAAAATGTGATATGCTGATTTTTCCTTTTTGATGCAGGATTTGCATTTTTCCACTTTTGTGCTACATTTGGACTGTTCTTGGACAGGTTTTTGGCAAGTTGTGGTGCAGATTTTGCATCAAAGCAGTAGCAGGGTGCAGCAACATATCTTCACAGGTTTTGGGCAGCATTGCAGCATACTTTTGGAACAGTAGTGCAGCATGCTTTTGGCATTATTTGGGCAGAATTTCGGATCAAGAACAAGCCTTAGCTTTAGGTTTAGATTTTTGTTTTCTTGTACAAACACTTGTGTAAAATTGTTGTGGTAACTTGTAATTTTGACTTAGAGCTTGATTGAATGTAATTTGGGGATTTAAACTTGTGCAACTTGCAAATGGATGAGACAAAGGTTATTTGGAACTTTGAAATTATATTTTTGAGATGTCTTGAGAATTGAATGAGTTTGAATAATGGATGATGAATAGTTAGAAAATGATTTGTTTGATATCCGGTTTTGTTATTGCTGCAAAAATCATGAACTTGTCCTATGAATAATCGTGTGATGATATTGATGTGGTCCCACTTTGCAATTTTCTTTCTCTATTTTTGACAAAAACAAACAAATAATAACATAATAGTAACAATAATATAAGAAGAAGAAAAAAGTATTAGTAACAATAAATAAAATAAAAATAATAAAATGCAACAATGATAATAACAATAATGAGAACAAAAATAAAAATAATTAGTAACAATAAAAAATGAAATAATAAAATGCAATAAAGATACTAATAATAATACTAATAATGAGAAAAAGGGAAAATAGTTAGTAATATCTAAAAGAAATAGAAATAAATTAAAATAAGAAAAAAATAATAATAAGACAGATTTTTGAACTAAAACAAATTCATTGGAAATATGATAGAAAATGAAAATGATAAACTATTTTAATTTTTTTTTTAAAATAGAAATTAAAATGATGAATAAAAACAAGAAAGTATGCGAAATGATCGATTTTTCAAATTAACGACAAAATATGCACCAGTCGAAAAAAGTGAAGGGGCGAAAAATGGGGTGCGACAGTTGTGCCTTGATGAATCAGTCTTCGAGAATCCATAATCAACCGTACTTTTGGGCTTGGGAGACTCAAAACCTTAATTGAAGCGCGACACCTGATGCTCTTGATTCAGACCTGTCTCTGCACATGACACAAAAGAAAACATGAACATACACCTTTGTATGCGATTAGAAATTAGTGATACATATGCTAAAATGTTCAAAACACTTGACAATCTTCGCGTAGTCAAAGCTCGAATGTGAGACGTTAAAACCGACCGTATTTCGTGACCTTGACTTATCTTAAAAAAATGAAAAAATAAAAATGGGATCTTATGTCAAAAATTGGGGTACAACAATTATGAATGAAGCAGGCCTAGGCGAAGACGAATGGATTCAGACAAGATTGGATCAGTTGAACTTGATTGATGAAAAGCGACTGGCTGCTATTTGTCATGGTCAGATGTACCAAAAATGTATGATCAAGGCTTTCAACAAAAAGATCAGGCCTCGAGTATATCAAGCTGGTGACTTGGTAATAAAGCCCATCATTCTTCCACAAGGCAACCCAAGGGGCAAATAGACTCCCACTTACGAAGGGCCATTTGTTGTCAAGAAAGTTTTCTCTGGTGGTGCCATGATGTTGACTACTATGGACGATGAAGATTTCCCACATCCTGTGAACGCAGACATAGTAAAAAAAAATATTATGCATAAGAGACCCGCTAGGTTGACACACCTAGGTAAAATAAGGGCATCCCGGCAAACCAAAGGTTTGGGCAAAAATTAGGGATATATGAAAAAGATTGTACACCCGGCAAGTCGAAAACCCGAAAGGGCGACTTGGGCAAAAATGGGTATCCTGGTGGGCTGAAAACCCAAAAGGGCAGTCCAGGCAAAAGTTAAGGATTGAAAGCGTATGACTATGTCCCGTGGAATCACCACATTCGACTTTATTACCAAGGTCTGAGTTCAAACGGTCCAAGATCAATATAATCAACTTCTGTCAATGGCAAGGGGCGTTCGAAGACATTGGAGCAATAGTAGAGTTAGAACACAATGAGATCATCTCCACATGGTTGTTATTTTTGTTTTCAATTCTGTTTTCCCTTCGACGATTTCCTCTTACTAGAATCTCCGTCTCTTTGTACAAAAACGCCTATTCATGGGCAAAACATCAATATAAATATACTTTGAAGTGTAAACTTTTTGTTTTTGTTTTGAGTGCAAAGATGTCCAATGATTAAAATTGAATAAACATATGCATATGAACATGTTTAAACTATTTAGTAAATGCGTCCTACCAAGTGGAAACAAGCATCTCTTTAATGTAATTGGGATATCCTCGGAGTTATCTCATTAGCATTATCCCCACTAGAGCCTGTCACAATAAACCTTTGCCCCAACAGAATTGCCCACAGAGTTGGATTTATGCAACCCTCAGTCAGAGTTTTCCATTTCTCGACAGCTCTCGCCCTAGCTGAGTTGGTCTTAAAAGAAGAAGCCTTGTGGATCTCTTCCTAAAGAATTCACCTTTCCAGTATGTCATCAAATATTCTCTTCAACAGGGTTTATTCCCCAATCAAATGTTTCACTCCTCAACATAGTCTTTTCCTATTCAAACAACTTTCAGATACTATGAAGCATGGACCCGACCAGATAATAGTTTGACTTCTCAAGATACTATGAAGCCTGGACCCGACCAGATAATAGTTTGACTTCTCAAGATACTATGAAGCCTGAACCCGACCAGATAATAGTTTGACTTCTCAAGATACTATGAAGCCTGGACCCGACCAGATTATAGTTTAACCTCTCAAGATACTATGAAGCCTGGAACCGACCAGATAATAGTTTAACTTATCAAAATACTATGAAGCCTGGACCCGATCAGATAATAGTTTAACTTCTCAAAATACTATGAAGCCTGGACTCGACCAGATAATAGTTTGACTTCTCAAGATACTATGAATCCTGGAACCGACCAGATAATAGTTTAACTTCTTGAGATATTGTGAAACCTGGACTCGACCAGACAAGGGTTTAACTTCTTTTCCCCAATAGAGTTCGCCTCTACCCCTAACAAGTTACTGTGAAGTATGGAATCCAACCAAATATCAGTTCAACTTTATCATTTCAAGCAAGTTACTGTGAAGCCTGGATTCGACCAGATATCAATTCAACTTCATCCTTTCAAACAAGTTACTGTGAAACCTGAACTCGACCAGATATCAGTTCAACTTCATATTTTCAAGTAAGTTATTGCGAAGCCTGGAATTCGACCAGATAACAATTAACTTCATCCACCTTAGAAAGAATTATGGTCATTGGTAGCCTTGAGGAGAAACCTAACTCAACGAACCATTGTTGAATAACCAATACTAATGTTCAAGCACAACATAGGAGAAACCCTAATTCTTTGGGTATTGAGTGCACATAGGTGAAGAAGTGACTTGAGATGTTGAGGAACAAAACTCTGGCTCAAGGACATTCTCGACGAGGACATGATAAAATCTTAAGCACACAAGTTAAACCTTAAAGCACACGTTCTTCGAAGAAAATTCTGATGAAGAAAACTTTTTATCTTGAGCAATCTTGCCAAGGAAAATATACATGATGCTTGTAGATTCAAAACCCTGGTTTCATACCAAGATAGATTAATGAATTAGTGGAATCAACTTGAGAGAGGTGGCAACCTCCATCCATAGGAAAAACCCTAATGCCAAGAGCCTTTTTTCCCATGCTTATAGATCTAAAATGAATGAAAGATTTATGATGTAAATGCATATTATGTTATGAATGAACAAATTAAGGATAAAAAATGGAGTAATAATATTTTATTTACAAAAAAAAACAATACATAAGCGTCAATTTAATTTGACACTTCCTTTGAATTATAACACATAGACGTCAATTAAATTGATTTGACTCATTAAATGACGTAAATTTAAAAAAATTGTATAGTAACGAACGTAAATCTTTATTGTTAAAAACAATCAATAAAAAAGAGAAAATTTTAAATTTATTTAAAATTTAATTTAATTTAAATTTGAGATCAGGAGTTGGTTGTGATTACCAAAGAAAAAATGTTATATTTTTATTTTTAAATTAATAAAAAAATATAATTTTTTTTTGACATAAACAAACTTAAAGACTTTCATTAATTAAACAATACTCAATAAAAGAACTTAAAGACTTTCATTAATTAAACAATACTCAAATACAAAAAAAAAAAATCTAAAAATTGACCGTCTTAACTAACATATGAATAATCAAATTCATTTAATACTTAATTAATTTTACCTCAAAATTTAGAAACAAATTCAACATGTTCTAAATAAACATAATAATAATATTAAATTCAGAATTATCTAGACACTTAATATGAACAACTTGAATAGTAATTTAACAATCACTTTCGAAAATAACATAAATTATTTATAAAACCAAATGTTATATTTGTGTCGATCTAAATTTATTGTTTGTCTTTAAAAAAACATGATTATTTTGATATATTAATTGAAAAATGTTAATTTAAAAGAAAACTCACTTTTTTATTCAAATAATAAATTTGAACACAAATCGTTTAAACTCTCTTACGAAAAATATCTTTTCTCGTCAAAATTTGTCATCCGAACACGTTGTAAGGAAAAAGAAAAAAAGAGGAGAAAATGAATGCAAAGCGTCAAAAAAGTGTTTCGTCCTTTAGCTTAGCATTATTCGAAGAGAAACAGTTTCTTATCTCTGGGTATCTGTGGCCTCGCTCGTCTTCTCTTCTGTTGTTGTGACTTCTTCTCTTTTACCGTATTTATTTCTAAGGCCAAACAACAACACTGCAGCCCCAAAACTAAACTTAAAGTACCATATTCAATTTCCACTGTAAACTCTGTGACTTCTCTTCAATGGATCAACAGGGGTTACTTCGCCCTAAGAAACCCTTCATGTAACTTCTCACTTCATTTTTTTTCTTTCATTTCTATTATGTTTATTATTATTTTTTTTGTTTAACAAAGAATTATGAAAATTGAAACAGTGCAGACGATGAGATAATGGAGCTACTATGGCAAAACGGTCAAGTTGTCACGCAGACTCAAAACCACCGCCATATCAACAACCCACCGCCGGGGAGAAACTCCGACGACTCCACTCGCGGCCGAACTTCATCGCCGAGGGAGAATCAGTATCTCTTTATGCAAGAAGGAGAAATGGCTTCGTGGCTTCATTATCCTATTAACGATGATTCTCCTTTGGATCAATCCTTCGGCGCGGATTTCCTTAATCAGCAGTCGGTTGTCAATAACAACAGTTCCATGCAAACTCCACAACGGCGGTCCGAGCAGGTGCCTAACTTCGCATACTTTGCGAGACACGGCGTTGGTGTTAGAGCCGAACCAGAGAGACTGTCTATAAGGGAATCAACAATAGAAGATTCGTGTGACACGCCAGTTGTGATGGTAACGGCTGTATCGGAGACGGCAGAAGGAGAAATCGGCTTGACGGCGCGTTCGACGACGTTTGACGAACCGGATGGATCGAGTAGCGATGTAGAACCGGTTCGGGAGATAGCGGAGCTGGGCCGGAAGCGGAAGGAAAGGGAGGCGGAGGAATGGAAGTATCAAAACGAGGTGTGTGAGTTAGTAACTCAGTGCAGTTAGTTTTTTTTCCTCTGTTGCGTCATTTTCAGTATTCAGAGTTGCAAATTGCCTAACGGCATCATAAAATTAAAGTAACCGCGTTCACCTAATCGGCCATACCTCTCGCAGCCGCTTGATATGGCTCCGCCACGTGTATGGTCATAATTTAATGCGGATTTCCAAGTGGAGGAGGACATGCATAATACTCCATCTATTCAAAAATTGTTCAATTGTCTTTACCTCATCCTTAAGCAGTGGAATTCAATTTAAGTGTTATTGTTTAAGTTAATATATAAGAGAAATGACAGTTGTGGGCAGATATGTGGCGATAAAGTTTCTTCAATCTTAGACTTTTAAGTTATTGACACTTCCAACGCACCCCAAACTTTCCATGGTATTAGAACCATAATTAGGCTCGACTATAAATGGTTAAGTCCCTTTCTTAAAAATGGAGGAAATCTTAAAAATATAAGGAATCTAACCCCTGATTGCAGTTCTTCTTCCAGAATTCCAGAGTTCATTTTTTACACAATGGTATCTTGGACTGATTTTTGAGGAACAACATTTAAATGGAAGAAAGGAAGAAAGAATCAAAGAATAGGAAGTGTATGGAGAATAGAATTCTCCCCAAGGGTGTTTTCCCTTGAAAGAGAATAATTCCTTTCATGCATAATATCTAATATACATATTTCTCCTTTTTGTACATGATAACCCCTCTACTTAATCAACTACACCACTAATTAATCCTTACTATGCTAATCTAACACCTATTTATTCTTTTTCCGAAAAGTTTCCCTTCTTTTTGTACCGTTTCTTGTCATATACATTGAAATGTGCTGTATGCATATCAATTGGTCAATGACATTTTTTTTATCTTTGATTGTTTTCCCCCAATAATTTGTTCAAACTAATTTCATTTGCAACCTCTATATTCTTATTTCTATTTGTCTTGCTTTAAAAGGATGTTGATTTTGAATCTGCGGAAGCCAAAGATAAATTCAGGGGATCATCAACAAAGAGATCTCGCGCTGCTGAGGTCCATAGTCTCTCAGAGAGGGTCTGTCTGTCCAAACATTTCTTTTTGAGTTCACATATTTTATGCCGTTTATGTCAACTTGAAAGTTTTCACTTTGCATTTACATCCAGAGGCGCCGTGATCGGATTAATGAAAAGATGAAAGCTCTGCAAGAACTTATACCTCAATCTAATAAGGTAAACTGACTTTTAAGATTTCTCATTCTTTATTTGCTGTGTTGATGATATAAGGGGTGGGATTTTAAATTTTATTTCCTTCCTCATTTTTGTTTCTAATTTTTCTCCTACTCTTAATTCATAGTCCGACAAAGCGTCTATGCTGGATGAGGCAATCGAGTACTTGAAATCACTGCAGTTACAAGTTCAGGTAGATTCCTTTTTTATGTATTTGTGATCTTTACATACGGTCATGCCACTATAGTACCAAGTTAGTCATGTAGTTTCATTTCTTAAACAGAGAATACAACTTATGCAGATGATGTCCATGGGATGTGGCATGGTACCTATGATGTTTCCTGGAATCCAGCAGTATATGCCACCAATTAGAATGGGAATAAACAGGCCAGTAATGCCGTTTCCCAATATGTTTTCTGGTTCTGCTTTGCCTGCAAATTTTGGACCAAGGTTCGCTATGCCTCCTTTCCACACGCCGCATGTTCCTACACCTGATTCATTCACAATGCCAGCAGCAAATCTGGCAGATAATAACATGCCCACCTCAGTTTCCACACATGATTCAAATAAGCCAGGTATCCCAAACTTCACTAATCCTTATCAACAATACCTTGGACCCCACCAGACGCAATTTCAGTTAATGCAGGTATTTTGTACTCTAATGCTATTTCTGATTAGGAATTTTTTAAATAATATGTGAAGTAACTCTTGCACATGAGATCCGTTGGATTTGAAAAACATAACTTCTCCGATATTATTGTGTAAAACCTGGTATTTTACTTTTAACTTAACTAGTAAGAAAACTTTTATTTTGCAAAGTTTCATTGTAACTTTGTTTTTTCCAAAGAAAGATCTCAATGATGTAAATTTTTATGAGTCCATTTCCATGTGTAGAATCAGCCAATGAATCAAACAAATGTCAGCAAGTTAGAAAGTGGCCGTCAGTCAGGTAAATTACTGTATGTTAGTATTTTGTTGGATTTGGTTAGCTTAGGTAAAGATAAAAGAATGGTTTATTATTTTGGGTCTTAATGATTTTGATATATGCCTTATTTTGTGTCTTGTGTTGTTTACCATCTCAATGAAGTCTTCTATTTTCCAGAACCAGTTTACCTTCGATTCAAATTTGTACTGAATCCTTATAATATGGTAGTGTCAAAATTGGCTGCTTCTAACTATCTCAACTTTTTTTCTTGATGATGTTCAGGAGATAAATGATTATTTGATGGTTACAATCAAGGGCTGCTTATTATTGTATAGCTGTTACCACTAGCTATCAAAATGGTACAACTAGTATTATTGTAAGTCCCGACTGCGCAATATTTTACGGAACATGGATAACTATGCATAATTAATAATGGATTTGCATTGTGTAAATTGCAGTTATATTTTCTGCTACCCATCTACAGTATGCCAAGTTTTGTCTGTAACGGAAGGAACTTTTTATCAGTTCTCAGTTGCAAGCTAATAATATATGCATTACACCGCTAACTTGTAAATTATTGTAACATAGTTTTCTCTGTTTTTTTGCCCTCCCTCATCGACACTTTTACTTTTTACAAATTAATTTGGTACGCTTGATCATAGGTTGAAGTGTCCATCTATTACCTCTATGTATGTCAATGTTAAGATTGTGAAAATAAGTTTACTACTGTTTTATTTGTCAATAGTTTGTGAATCTCTCTTAAAATATATTTAGGCCATGGTTAGGTTGTGGTTTTTGGTTAGGTGTCTTTATGATCCGGTTTGGTCACGCCATGTATCTCGGGATTTTTTGTTGTTGTAATTTTAGTAACTATCTCTCTCTGAAGCGAGGGTACTTCTAAAATGGTGAAGTATCGGTACCGGGTATGCACTCCTTTCCGGTACACCGCATTTATGGTATTTTATTTTTTTTCATTATTGAATTTCGAGTAAAATTTGAGGTTTTCTCAAATATCAATATAATATATTTATGTATTATAACTTCTTCGTTGTTGTATCTTAATATTATTTTTGAATTTTTAAAATTTTTGTAAAATATTTTGTTGTGAATTTAACAATTTAATTCTCTATTACTACATTTTACAAAAAACTCTTATTTTTTATTAACGTGTTCGTATCTTAATTTTTTTTTAAATGATGTGTTCGTATCTTAATTTTTTTTTAAATGATGTATCTCACATCGGTACTTACACCGGATACCGTATCCGTATCTATGCATCATAGTTATCTCTTGTTGTTACTTAATTCAATCCTAGGAAGTTAATTAAGTTGGTGGCTAGGAAAATTATAATTAATACTATGATTGATTACTAATTAGAAATTAGATAGAAGTGTGACATTGTATAAAAGAAAATACTTATTAGTAAGAAAGTATGAAAGCAAGAAATGTAAGAATTAAATCTCAACCATTCATTATTATCCGTACCCTATGATTCCTATTAAAAAGGAAATTAAATTTAAAATAAATTTAAATTTATCCGTTAAAATAATGATAAGTATATATTCTTGCTTTTCTTATTTAAATGATTCTTACTGTATAGCATTACTCTTGTATAAATGATGCAGCTCACATTGCATTCAATTAAACCTTATTGAATGTTACTCACCATTTTTATCTCTTTCAACTCATCTCTTTATTTCTCTTTCCCTCATTTCTTGTAGAGCAAGAAAGCCTTTGCTTTAACATATTTGGTATTTCGAACTAGTTTTTTTTATAAATTAATATTTCATTCCAAAATAATAACGTTTACAAAAAATAAAGGACAAATGAGCAACAAAACTAAAAAATAAGCGCTGTAAGAGAAAAGCGCTGTAATATTTGGTATGTGTAATTTAGATATTTTGTTAAAAAAAATCGTGACCAATAGACAGCGCTTTAAGAGAAAAGCGCTGTAAAAACTAAAAAATAAGCGCTGCCTAAAGTGGGAAAGCGCTGTCTAAAGTGGAGGAATAGACAACGCTTTTAACGAAAAGTGCTGTCTAAAGCCTAACTTAAAAAATAACAAAGCGCTGTCTAAAGCAAAAGCGCTGCTAAAGGGGTATATAAAAAACGCTGTCTATTCTAAAAGCGCTGTCTAAAGTGGGCATAAGAAAGCGCTTTTACATTGGAAAAAAACACTGTCTTTTCTTTTAGTAGCGCTGCTTTAGGCAGCACTTTAAAACGCTGTTAAAAGCCAAAAAAAGCGCAGTTTTTTCCTTTATATTTAGTAGTGATATATTTTCTTGTGTATCTTTACCATCCTTCTGAGAAGATTCATTCATATTTATATTGGTGTTGCTTCCATTATATGTATCATTCAGTGGATCAAAGTCTTCTAAAAACTGTATATGATTTAGTCTTAATACTCGTGATGGTATGGTTGATTTGATTCCATTAGAAACTTAATGAATAACAAAAGACATATCTTAGTATTTATTATGATGTTAAAAAGGAATCGCCTTATTAGAGCTTGTATCTTTTACCATGGACAAACAGTAATTC